GACGCAAATGAACGGAGCAACAAATGTTTCAAAAGAAGGTGTGTATGTGTCGTGTCGTGTATTCGACACCGGTCTTAGGATCCCTATGCAAAATACAGACCGATTTATTTTGTTGTAAAAGTAAGTAAAAAATAAAGCTATCCCTGTAACAGGCCGTGAAGGCCCATAGGGTTGTGAAACGTTGAGGGTCCCACATTATCTAGACAATCGGCTTAAAGATGGCGGTAAGGTTGTCGGCTTTACGCTCCGACCGCGCTTTACTCCCCAGGAAAATTATTTAATTAATTCCTGGTACTCATTTCTGTTAGAGGCTGAGTCAACCCCAGGGCCATAGTGCGGTCCGGAGGATTAGGTAAATTGAAAACATTCCAATAACCTCATCGGGACTTGAACCCGCGACCTAATTAAATTAATTGCTAAACAGAAAAAAAAGCTGCGTAAATATATTTTGAAGACAACTGAACTGTCTTTCAAAAATCCGAGAAGTCATAGCTTTCAGTCTTCATTTTAGCTCTTGTGACGTCCAATTCATTGCTGTTAAAAGAGGGGTATAGAGATTTTCGGGAAATTCTACTTGACAGATAAACGATATCTGTCATAACTAGTTTGTGCAGTTCGAAACTTGTTAGAAGGAGCAGGCAGAGCAAGAAGTGGAGGTGTATTAATATGTGACAAATATTTCATCCGCTTGGCGTCAAAATTCAAGTTTTGGGGAAGTCAGTAGAATTGTTGTGATGAATTGCGGGGCAGATTTATTAGTCTGCCGCAACTGAGCTCACTTATCGGCTAACCATCAGAATCCAAATCTCATATTTCGAAAATAATGGGAAGGAAGGCCCGAAGTATTGTATTTTCTGTGCTTGCCGAAACAAAATTTAAGGCAGTTTTTGCCAATCACATCAGTCGCCAATCATCATTTCACCAAGGAACTTTATGAAATTTCACCATTTTCAAATAATAATAATAATTACTACAATAATAATAATAATAATAAACATAACAGAAATGTTGTTGCATAGACTGGACGAAAAAGCATAAAGTCATATGTGCGAACTGAGTGGCTCTACAGAGGCGGCCAGCAGATATTTCAGAATATGTTTGAACTCAGTTATCCGAGGTATTTACTATTCCTTGGCATATTGCGCCAGTATTTGCATGCCTTCACTTTGGACACAGAAAACATAGTAAGCGTGACAGAGTTGCCACTGAGTGTAGCCGTTGCAATGTTTAGCACACTCTGAGAGTACTTCTCTGGGCCTGGTATGTTTTATACACGGTGTCTTTTAAGCGATAATCCAGTGTTAGTAACGTTAATTACATCATATATTATAGGGCTAGGGCCATTTAGGTGAAACGTCCCTGTTTTTTCTTTTTTATTACTTGGTGGGATGGGACTGAGTCCACTTGGTACTGCGGCCACTTCTGGCCTATTGTACCAGCCTCAGATAGTAGGTGAGGGTGATTATGGAGCAATTGTTGGAATTAAGATTGGCAGGGGAAACCGAAGTACTCGGAAAAAAACCCCGCCCCAGCGCCACTTTGTCAACCACAAATCCCACTTGACCAGACCCGGGATCGAACCCGGGCCGCCGCGGTGGGAAGCCAGCGACTAACTGCTTGAGCTATGGCACGGCCCTGTAACGTCCTTAACATTAGGTTCTGTTTTAAAAACCATCCAGTAAATATTCTCATAAGCTCACTGGTAGGCATCAGCAGACGTCAATAGAAGTGATTAAGGTAGAATAGTATCGAAAGCGAATCAGATAACGTGCACAGAAAGCAGAACAAGGTTGTGTCTCTGAATAAATAAAATGGATGAATAAATGAAGAATACAATACACAGTACCCCACAGGAGGACTGTGGTGATAGAAACAGCTTTGGTTCATGTATCTTGTTAACATTGCCATGTTCACCTGAATAAAAAGTAATTGCCACAGATGTGAAACTATGTCTCCTGTCCATCTCCGTAATTTGTACTTGTGATTAATAAATGCAGTGTTTGGTGGAGCAAGGGGTCAGAGATTATCTGGAAAGAAAAAGGAAGTGAAATACAAAGCTGTGTTAGCCGAATTTTTCTGTGACATTAAAACATGGAGTCTTCAGGGTCTCGAACTGCCGTCGGAACCCGGCCCATGATGTCGATCCGTGGAGTTAGGCGGTTGCGCCGAGCCTACCCCGCGGTCGGCTCTCAGTGGTAGAATGCTCGCCTGCCACGCGGGCGGTTCGAGCTCCGGCTTCCTTCAACTGCGTTTGTAACTCGCGCCATGTGGTTTCTACGTCGGATTGGAAGTCTGAAGAGGTCCTTCTTTGGGTCAGCTGTCTCCTTGCGGAGGCTTCGGGCCCGCGTATCGAGGGGCGTTTGTAACTCCATCTGCGTTTCTTCCATCTTGGTACTGAGTTCTTCGCCGACGCCAGGACATCTTCCATCCGATGCCTAATGGTTTCTTCTAGTTTGGACCGGATGGAGCTTGTCGCGGCCTTAATTTATTCTTGCCCGCTTCTGATCGCTGCCTCCATGTTTTCTTGATGGTGTTTCATCTGTCCGTAAATGGTCTTTGTTTTGACTTTGTTAACATCAATCCGGGAGGAGAGAGAATCCATCTTGGTCTCTAGCCTGATCACTGTCTCTTCTTGGTTAGAATCCATCTGTGAGTCGAGAGAACCTTGATGGAATTTCATTTCGGCTCATATCTGGTTTATCATGGCTAACACACTTTCGAAATCCGCCATGATTATCGGTTGCTTGGGTTCAATCAATGTAATTGATCAATCAATCCAATCCAGTTAACCAAATTATACCACTGCTGGCACCAGTTGTAGCGTATATAGTGACTAGATACGGGGTTTTGCTTGGTAAATAGATTTATAGACCACTTATAATGCGTAACTGCAAGTAACTACAGTGCTCTCGCTAATTCACGCATTCGGCTTCTCACTACAGACACACTAAATATTCTATGTCTTCTCTAGGCGTTGTATGGTAACGGCTCCTGTCATTGCTGGCTAGTGACTCCTTCACAATTATCTCATATCAAAGTCAGAGTCACATTACGACCGATGGCCAGTCCGTCATTCAGTCTGTGTCAGGCAGTCGGTCGATCGGTCGGATAAATTGCTGCTGGCCCTCATCAGCGTATATAGCCTCCGCATGGACTCAATATAAGCGACCGTTCCAAACAATTTCTCTATTGTTGCATGCTTAGAAGCCGTTGCGCTCGCGTTCTGTTTACTGTTCGTTGTGTAGCAACGAATTTATGTCATCGTGTGTTTACTGTGCCGTAACCTAGCAACGGATTTCTTTCAGTTATCATGTCACAATATATGTGAAATATTTTTCTATGATATTGTTTGTTTGTAAGTTAATGTGGCCTTTTACGATTAAGAATAGTTCAGCATCATTATTATCAGTCATTTTTACCCCTAGATAAAGTTTACCTGAGTGGGAGGTGTGGTTAACTAAAGGGAAGCAGATCCAATTATTTCTGCAGTTTGAAATCATTTGATTTGAATAAATCTACATATACTACGGGGCATGCGGTAACATAGTTGGTTGAGGCACTACGCTACAATCCGGAAGGTCCGGATAAGGTCATTAGATTTTACAATTCACCTAAAACTTCCAGCCGCTCTATGGCCCTGGGGTCGACTCAGCCTCTAACAGAAATGAGTACCAGGAATATTCCTGGGGGTAAAGGGCTCGGCGCGTAAGGCTGACAACCTTACCACCATCTGTGAGCCTATTGTCTAGAAAATGTGGGAGCATCAACATCTCACAAACCTATGGGCCTCCACGGCATGTTACAGGGATACCTTTACTTACTTACTTTTTTACTTACATATACTACATGTACACATGACTTGGGTGGAGTTTAAATATTGATGGTAATATTCATAGACATAAGAGCCATTTGGAATTATTTTTATTGTCTTCGTTGTGTGTGGCATACCAAATTTTTCGGAATTGGTAGCATTTTATCGACCTTCTTGCAAATATATCAAAAGAAAAGTATATAACATTAACTTTTACCTATAACAGTTTGTGACTGGTGAATAATGCAGAGCGTTTTTGTACCTTCAGAACACTAGGAAATGTTGAAATGGTAGTTGACTGTGAAAGAGTTAGAAGTGCAGCTCTGAAAATATATAGAAACAGATCAACTGCTGGCATAAAGGAATGAACATGAGATTGGCTATATATCAGAGAATTAATTTTACTTTTTAAGTTTTGGAAGTTCTCATACATTTTGTGCACCTAGTATTTTTTTTTCATACTTTTTGTCATATTGGTGCTATTTTAATGGTGACAAAATTCACTTTTTATTATTGTATTGATATTTCTTCCAGTCTTTAGTTTTTCACTAGAAATTAAAAATATGAAAAATGTTCTTTGAATTATAGCAAGCATTCCCTGACTTTACCCTGCTCATATTTTTTTTGTGAATGTATTTGATATTTTACTGCCTCTCCTAAACGTTTTAAGTTTCATATATTTTTCAAAATATGATTTATCTATCTTTATAACATGATCTTTGGCCCTGCATTCATGTGGTGAGACAATAACGTGTAATACTTACTTTTATCTGTGTTCATTTCTATTCTAATCTCCTGACGAGTGTTAGATAAAGCTTTGATGTTATTTTTGTCATATTATGTTTGGCACAATAATGAACATCATCAGCATAGACTGTGTGTTCCATTCAGTTCTAATCCTTCCTGATTTGCTTGAACCTCTTAATGCATATTTTAAAGCAAATCTTAAAGACAGTGGCAATAACGCACCTCCTTGTTTGAGTCAATTCTGCCTAGGAAATGCATCATAAACATATTTACCCATACAGTCTTTTTTATAAGAAAATTACTTAGGAAGATATTTGTCTCTTAAGGAATTCTGCCTCAGTTTTTATCCATACAACAAAGATCTCACTTGGGTAAATAACATTTCAGTACTAATATTGGGATATTTTATTGATTTATATTTTTACTTCTTTTCTTATTTCAGAGGAGGATTATGATCAGTTCTGTTTAGCTTACATGTTCACATACCGGGACTTTGAGATGGGAACGTTGGGCCTGGCTTGGACAGGAGACCTCAAGAATGCTGGAGGTGTATGTGAAAAGAATGGGGTGAGTAATGTGTAATTCCAAAGCCTGTGCCATAGCTCGGTCGGATAGTTGCCAGCTTCCCACTGTAGTGGCCTGGGTAAAATCATGTGGGATTTGTGGTGGACAAAGTGGCCCTAGGACAGGTTTTCTCTAAGTACTTCCCCTGCCAATTGGCATTCCACTGATTGCTCCACAATGATCATCATCTGTCATTTGGAGCTTGTACAATAGGCCAAACAGTGCCAAGTGGACTCAGTCTCACACCATGAGGAAAATGAGTGTGCAGGTCTGTGTGCTGGAAACCCCAATCTCTTTTAAGCAACTTGAAATGGCATAAAGAAAACACAGTAACTCGGGTCCAGTCTTGGAAGCATGTTTCATTCCATTAATGACTGTGTTCAATAGCAAGCAGGATAGATACAAGCTGGAATTTATACTATTCTGAGTACCTGTATTCTTCTGAATTAAAATGCAAAAGCACAACAGTAACACATAAGAGTGAGATTCAATATTAAATTGAGATAAGAAGTAGAGGAATTTACTTGTTATTATTGAGTTCAAGAATGCATTTTCTGTTCCCCAAACTCATGGTAACATTGTTTGGGGTAGTTACACCATGGAGGATGGAGTAAGGAGGCAGATCAATAACTATGTACATACAACCTCTTTATTACAACCGTCACAACACAACAAATATCAAGATCAGTGCCTAGTTTCTGCTCTGCTACACGTTTCGGCCATCAATAGCTATCATCAGGCAAATACATGGTTAACATATATACACCACTGAACCGCAGTACTAGTAAAATTGGATACAATACTATTAATTATATAAAACAGAAGTTATAGTATAAAACAAGAATAAAATCCTAGATTGATGTTTTATATCATTGAATCAGTCGTTGGTTTTGTAATTTCGTTGTGTTCCCATGGACAAATTGGAATATTCTATATTTTACGTATATAAAATTGTATAGGAGGCTCGTGATGTAGATGTAGTAAATTAATGTTAATCTGAAAATGATATGAAAGTAATAGTATTTAATTTTGTTATAATCAACAACTGATTTAGGTATTGAAGATATAGTGTATATTACTTACTGTTTAGTCGGTGCCTCATCTTACAAAGTATTGTCCGTTCTGTAAGGAATGTACATAACCTCAAGGAAAAAGAAGACTTGGGGGACTTAGTTATAAATGGAGGGATAATATCAATGACCAGAAAGAACTAAATTGTGAGATATAAACTGATGAAACTGCCTCAGAATTGCGTCCAATGGAAGAATTTCGTGAATATGGTAGTGAACCTTTGAGTTTCTTAACAACAAGGAATTCCTTGGCCAGGTGAAGACCAGTGAACCACTCAAGCAGGGAGAATTCTGTGCGATAGGGTTAATTTGTTAAGTCATAACAGTTTAACACTGTGTGACTTCAATTCATTGCAGCATTATCGAGGCAGCATGAAAAGTCTCAATACTGGCATTGTGACACTGCTCAACTACGGAAAGCATGTTCCCCCTGCTGTCTCGCATGTCACACTTGCCCATGAGATTGGTCACAATTTTGGCTCACCAGTAAGTAATTCTTTCTTTTGTAAACTAATTCCATGTTATGTAATTTTGTTTTTATCATAAAATGTGTCTGTATAACTCAGCACATGCAGAAATTGTAGATCTGTATGAATCTGTTATTTCATAAATCAGGTTCTGAATAACACTTGTCTGTACTAATTTTGTTTGTTTATCTGTCAAAACACAACAACTCTTAAAATCCTGTTCACATTTACTGTGTATAACGTATTTATTGATTGCAGTGGTATCTTGCTACATGTTTCAGCTTATGAAAAGCCATCAGGCACATACACACTAATAACTTATTCTTAAAACATTGAGTCCATTCTGTTTGGATATATATGTTACAGTGTTACAATTATTAATGCATGAGATTTTCAGCACTTCGTCAAAATTAAAGGCACTACTGTTCATATACAATTATATTCATTCAACTAGAATAAAACTTTATTTAACTGATGTTTACAAATATGCATACAATAGTATAAAATATAAATACTATAATATGATATTATGTTACAAGGTTTAAAATTATAAGATAAATTACAAAGGTTCAGAATTATAAAATACACTTAGACGCTGAGTTAAAATATTATTACGCCATGTTTAGACGTCTCATGTATCATCTTTCTTGACAAAGAATCATTAAATAAACCAAGAAACAGGGAATCCTGCTTGGAGAAACCCACGTGATACCTAACAGGATCTAAAAGAGTGTACATAAATTGTAAGCTCAGTGAATTACTTTGTTAATGTAGCTGATGAAGCCATTTAATTATGATTGTTATTGTGTAAAATAGTGTAAGTGCATCATCTAGAAGCCTAAAAGATTAGTTCATCTACTGAAAGTGGGTCTCCATTATGAGATGAATGCATCTAACTACCTGTTCTACATCACAGCCTACCTGGCATGAAGAATAAATTTGTCCCTATAGCTAAAGCATTATTAAATGAAGGCCAGTGAGTGGGAGTGTGGAGGTATTGCTCCACACAGTCTAGACCACTGAACCAGAGGCAGCTTTACGCTTCAGGTATTTACTTCATATGAAGATCTCTTGATACCGCATAAGAATAGCCTATATAACCGTTATGAACGTTAGTCCATTCTGACACTGATATCTGATATGCATGGGCTTTTGTTTCCAGCATGACCCTGAATTATGTACTCCTGGTGGTGAAGATGGCAACTTCATCATGTTTGCACGAGCAACATCGGGGGACAAGAAGAACAACAACAAGTTCTCCCCATGCAGTCTCAACAGTATTAGCCCTGTTTTGAATGCAAAGGCCCGCAGCCCCAAGGGTTGCTTCACAGGTTAGTGAATAAGGTGGAGCAGGGTGAGGCTCTGAATATTTTAAAAGATTTATAATTTTCTCACATCTGCCAAACACTGCTGTCTCATATTGGGTAGCTGAACCCTCAATTTCTTAGTATTGCCCTAATTCTTCTTATTATGGTGTGAGTAAATCTTGTTGCACTTGAGGGAAACATGATTAATGTTGAATCACTAGAATTACCAATAAGTTCTTCATATAGATCTAAATGGAGTACATTACTTCATACATCCTTGAAATAGTGTTGTTGTGAATAAACATGAAACATAAGTTGCATGGAATACTTGAACCTGTTAACACAGATGTGACTGATGATGTCATGAATTCGAAGTTGAGCTTTTGTAACTTCTGTGGCTGAGAAATGGCCATTAAATAGAAGAAGGAACAAACCATTTTTTCTGTCCTTCCAGCAGATATTTTGATAGTATTTTGAAATAGGCCTTTTCTTTGTGAATTCATCTTAGGCAGTGATCTTAACCATCCCTTCTTACATAACTTAAATTCATGTAGCGTGAGTAAATAACTCACACACTACTGATCAGAAATGTCATGATTTGGAAAAGCTGTGTATTTGAAGTGAATGTTCAAGAAAAGCTTTGGGTTGCAGAACCACAGGCTGCCATCTGTGGGAATGGAGTGGTGGAGGTTGGAGAGGAGTGTGATTGTGGCTGGGAGGAGGATTGTCGGGACAACTGCTGTTTCCCACAGCGCAGGTACCCACCTCTTGAAGAACCTCCTTGCAGGCTCACTCCACACAGCATATGCAGCCCCTCTCAGGTAAGTATAACTTACAATTGATAACTATTTGGAAAAAGGAAGCCTAATAATTTATTTGGTCTTCACATCTCCCATAAGTAGGGAACGGATACTGATGCTTCCTCAGCAGCAACTAATATTTCAGCTATTGGCTGGGCCTTACTGAACTGTAGTGCAGAGGAAATTAGAGATAATATCAATTTATTTATACAAGGCCAGTGACTTATTTCTTCTTATTTTCCTATTATTAACTCACTTAATGGAATGTAATGTTTTTGAAAAAGTTTAGTCACTAAACTGATCAAGAAATTGCGTATCTTTTATGAAACATGAAGGTTCATTACCATGTTTACAAAAGCCCACCACTGAAACATATTCTTAGCCAAATGAATCCAATCCACATTTCCCACCATATAACTTTAAGGTCTATTACAGCACTGTGTTCTATCTAGGTGTTCCAAATAATCTCTTCCTTTCAGATTTTCAGATGAAAATTTTGTACGAATTTTTCACCTTTCCTTTGCATGCTACAGGACTGATCCATCTCACCCCCTGACTTGACCATCCATATAATATTTGATGAAGAGTACAGTCTGTCTGATCCTGGATTGTTTCTGGGTCAAGAATTTTCTGTAAATACATGAGAAGCTTATTCTCAGTCAAGTTTTAGTTTTTGGAATATTGATTTGTCATTGTTAACTGCAGTGCCTGTCTGCTAGCCACCATCCTCATTAATGTCACAGGATTACCCTATCACTGGGAATATCTGAATTTACCTTACTGATGTTTCCATCTCAGAAACATATTTCTTCACCACACGAGACAGGAAGTGGATACTGTAACTTAATAGTGACCACCATGAAAACCTAAACACTCGCAACAAAATCTTCATTACATATTACTAGAAGGTGTGATATGAATTTCATTTTTGTTGTAATGGTCCAATATAGTTCCTGCTTTCTTTACATGGAAGTCAAATTAAGGTTCATAATCTCAGAAGTTTCCCATCATTATATATTTTCATGCAAAATAAAATATAGATCTAATAATATAATAATTAATATAATATCTTCAAGTAATATCTACAAGGCCAGTCACGGTAGCTGAGCGATCTAAGGCATGTATTGTCTTCGCTCCCTCGGAAGCCGGGATCGTGGGTTCTAATCCCACACAAGGCATGGATGTTTGGTGTGTGTATGTGTTTATATTGTTCTGTGTTTAGGTAGAGGCCTTGTGATGAGCTGATCACCCGTCCAAGGAGACCTACTGTCTGTAAAATGATCACGAAACTGAGAAATCAGCCTTGCACTCCAAAGTGGGAGCAAGAGGAGAGAAATAAAAAATCTATAATAGTTCATATCTGCAAGAAGCATCAACAGTTAATTAATTAATTAATATTAATATGTACAAGTTTTATTTCAAGAGTCTCTTGATCAAATGAATGAAATGTATTTTGGAAATACATGTATTGCTTTAATGTATATTGTGACACTCTTATGTGGTATATGTATTTGGAAAATACGTGGACTGCATTGACTTACACTTTCCATTCTTGTTTATGGTTAATTATATGGTGTAATTCATCATGCTTTGTATTTAGGGTCCGTGCTGTACATCGACATGTGAGCTCAAGTTTGGAGACAAGTGCCGTGATGACAATGGATGCCGAGATTCAAGCTTTTGTGATGGACGTGGACCACAATGCCCACCCTCTATCAATAAACCTAACAAGACAATCTGCAATGAAGAACTTGTCTGTTTCATGGGGGTAAGTGTGTGCAGTGTTCATATGTCCAGGCAGTCACAGTATGTTGAAGTAGAAATGGGCAAATTTTACTATTTTCTTATTTTTGTCACAAAATTCTTATGAGAGAATAGCAACAAATGAGGGAATTTAAACAAGTACTTGTAATATACTGAACTATGACTTCATGTGCATGCATGAAGGCAGGTATGTTGTACAAGTGTGCATGCATGATCATGCAGCCATACTCCTTTATTTTCACTTCTTTTTGAGGAGGTATATTACTTCTCGCTGATTTCCTTTAATTTTTATTTGCCTATTAAGTGTCCAGTTCTTATTTGACCATCAGCACCAATAAAAGAAATTTTTTCCACATGTGTACATGCTTCTTTAGCTTGTTACAGTGTAGTTTCTTCTGGTAAATCCTGTATTCCTGTGTTAGTTAATTTAATTTAGTTTGAATACCTGACCCTTTAACACCCTGTTGAAATCTCCATTTGAAAGTATTCTTAAAACATGTGAGTGGTATGTAATGATGCAGCTAGATGACTCCAGTGTTCTGTTCAGTATCGTTTCATGGCTTTTTCTCATCAATCGGTATGATGAAACTATACTTTATGTGTGAACAATTTTAATGCATTCTTAAGTGGTGCTGGAATACTGAAAATTCAGCTATCATTCTGTTATCATTCTCCTTAACCATTATTTGTCTCCACATCTAATTGAATGCTGCATCAACTCTGCTCTCACAGGTCTATGTTTTATTTGACATGTATAAATCTGTTCTCTGTGTTTGTGTGAACAGGAGTGCACAGGCTCCATCTGTCTTGCATTTGGACTCGAATCCTGTCAGTGTATTCCTGGACCACATGACTCCAAGATTAAGGCCTGTGAACTGTGCTGTAAACTGCCTGGAGATGACCAGCCCTGTCTGTAAGCATGAACTATGTCCTATTATAATTTATCTTGTCATCTTGGGCTTTTAGACCTGCTACATGATCTTATTTTGCTTGAGTAACACGTATTGTCTACACATGATCCTATTAGCTGCAAGGTCATATTTGTATTTTATATGTGGCAGAATATCAGGAGACAAATGAATATTTGCAGTAAAATATGAGCAATGATTTGACATAAGTTAAAATATTAAATACAAATCAGTCAGTCATTAAAGACCCTGTAAATATTATGGTATATTCATGAATTTTTAATTCTTCATTAATATTATGTACGTTTATGTTACGTAGTAGAACTGTAAGTTCCCCTGTAGGATGTTAACTGCATTTATATTTGGTACTGCGTAGATAATAAAGACATCATGATGAAAAGAATTTGGATTTCTCAGGATACATCAGGTTGGAATATTTCAACTTCTCGACAATATAAAAATGGATACAGTAGTGACAAAATATTAGTTATGAATAAAGTTGTGAGAGACAATATATATTTTTAACATTGGTTTCAGGTGCTGTTACAAGGAGAAGCTGGTTTGTGGTTTAATTAGAAAGAAACTAGAATATATTGTAATTGTATTCACACACAGACAACAATGACTGTTGCAGGTCCTCTTTTGATTGGAACACGGCCCCGTATGACATGCCAGACCTGTTCTCTAAGCCAGGAACACCATGTAATGACTACAATGGATATTGTGATGTCTTTCAGAAATGTAGAGAGGTATACAACATTAGTAGTTAAACTGTTCAGTAGAAAATTATAGTTACAGTCTTTGGCCATCACACATGTGCCCATCTGGCCTGTTTCAATTCTGAATTCATTCTGAAACAGTAAATCTTTTAGACATTCAGTAGGATTACTGGGCTGGGGAGAACTGGCACATCACAAGGCCTATGCCTACATTGTACAATACAACACGGAAAACTCAAAACACACATCCGAGGTCTAAGTGCAGAGTATTGTTCATTTAAAGCCTGTGTGTGTCTCAGGCCACATGGTGGCCATTGCAATAAGTTATATTTTTTTATGTCTCTAACTAAGCCATGATAGCTCTGTCAGTAGTTCATCATATTCATCCATAAATGACAAACACCAAAACTATAGATATGATTTTGATTAAACTCAGTACACTAGATTCTGTTAAGCCATTTTGGCTTTGGTTTAGTTTAGCCAATTTTAAAGATAACTTCATTTAAGCACTTATTTCTTTATGTGGTTTGATAGATATTGACAGAACTTGATGTATGAATTTTTTTTGTATGAGTAAATTAGGCCCTTTTTATTATGAAACAAACTCTTCTTTTTCACAAATTGTGTGAAGACTCTTTCTTTCATTCAACTCATCAACCCAAAATGAGAGTAACTGTTTCACTCTTCCAATCACAAGACCATGTGAGCAGTTTTCCTTCTTGCAGTTTCCATTGTCTTTTTAATTTAATCAGCATTTCTCATGACTGTTTTTACAGTTGAGGGGCCCATATTTAAATCCTATAAACAGTATTACAGTAATACCCACCCTCCATTCTTCTAATAACGTCCATCATTTCTGCTAATGTTACAAATATGCATGGTCTTTTAGCCACAATTTCACTAGCAGTTGCACTCCCACCCTTATGACTAGACTTGGTTCCACTTTTATTTTTTATTTTAAGGCACAAATTTATTAAAAATAATTAAGGCACAATATTAATATGCACAGTAACTGCTATAATGTACAGTGTACTGTAGAGAGAATGAGCATATATAATGCATACCCAATTGTGGCATTGCAGTGAATACATGCTCAGTAGTGCTGTGCAGGGACCTGTTTTGGTAGTGGGAGCACAGTATAGAATTTTCCAGAATTTTGGTGGAAATTACTGCAAATTTTCTAACTAGTGGATATTCAAATTGGTGTATATCAAACCACAGTAAACCAGCGGCCCACTGTACGGATTTTAAGTGCTTCCATTTGGTGGGGTAGATAAAATTTGTTTTTGTGAAGGTAGGAAGTGATTTTGTAATATTTCTTAGGTGAGTTGTGATATGTAACATGTTAATTACTCTGTTATTCCTTTCCATTCCACAAGCTGACCAGATTGATTCTGGGTAGTTTTGTTAAGACCATTGCAACTGAAGAGGCTGGCTGATTAGTTAGTGTATCAGCATTTGTCTCAGGAGATGGCAACATTTATGACAGATGTTTATAGCAAACAGTGACCTTTCACATTATATATTTGTATTTCCCTTGTTGTCTGAAGGTCATTTGAGGAAAATATTGTTGCTTTTCTGGACAGTTGTATTTTTACCAACACAGTCTTTGACATTTTATTAGGTATGATGTGGCTTGACTGTCAAAGGGTTAAGTATTATGTCTCCATACGCTTACTTCCAAAAGTATGGCAGTAAATTACAAAGCAGATATTAATCTGTGTCTTATGAATTTTAGGTAGATCCATCAGGCCCCCTTGCCACATTACGCAAGCTGCTGCTTTCAGATGAAAGCATTGCAACATTCAAGCGGTGGGTCACTGATCACTGGTACGCTGTTGTACTCATTGCGTTCACAGCCTTGTTCATTCTGGTAAGTCCATTTTGCATTAACTTGGATTACTAGCAGTTATTCTCTTGTATAACTGTAAAATGTCACTATGTTATCAGTATTAACCTTTCCTAGTGAAATGGGCATTTAAGTACCATTCTTGGTTGGCAGGCCACTTCAACAAAGGATCTCTTAATGACTTATTGATTGATGCTAAAGAAATCTAGTTGAAACATCTAAACTTTATACAGGAGATATTTTTATCTATATTTCCAAGCTCTCATAATACAGACATTGTGCTAATTTGCCATTGACTTCCACAAAATAACTGTGCATCCCTTGTGTGAAGTTGCATCAAAAACAGAAAATGGCCAGCCAAGTCTTGGCATGGTTTCTAACCTAGATGAGGTAAAGACTCAAGTTGATCCATCAAAAAATTCTCATTGTAGTGAAGTCTTTTACAGGTACTCCAGTATCAAATTCTATCTTTTTACTGCATGAAATTTAAACTCATCTGTCAAAACTACAGGCTGGTAATTCCATAGTACACATTGTAAGTTGGAAATGATAATAAAATTGGAAAGATGCTATCCCTACTGGAGTACACAAAGTTTTCACATGTGTTCTTTTTACTTCAGTATAACTATTATGCTGATATACGTTTCTTAGAAAAGTATACTTCTGTGAAGTTGATCTTTATGAAAGTCAAAGTGGATCTACAGCTTTTAGTAAGGACCAGTATTGTCAAATTTCATCTAATCTGTGTAGCAGATCTTGAGTTGAAACATGAGGAAGGATGGAAAGGTAGACATGATCTCCCATATATGCATTCAGTTTAGTCATATAATGCAAAGAATGGATAAAAAGAAGTAATTTGTTCAATATTTCAGTGCCTCTTCAAGTCCTTGTTACTTCAGGACTGTATTCAATTCAGAATGATTGATCTTTAGTGACAGTGTTTTTAAATTTCTCTCTATCAGAAACTACGGATTATGTATGGTGAATGTAAGTTACCAGATTTTTTACTTCACTCCAGAGCTAGAGAATTTTTAGTGTCAGGATACCCAAGCACATCAAAACTGTGAAAGTACAAGAAAAACAAGAGATTCTGTACAACGCTTGAAGCTATCATAATGACTGAATGCTTTGAAATCTTCTTGGTTAATCAGCCATGTCAATATGTCAATGTATTTCCAGTGTTTCAAAGACTCTCTGCGTGTATCATCACATTAATTCTCTATGATGGAGGCAAAGATTGTCTCTGAAATGCTGGCTATGCATTCCATGTTTGTGCAGCTAATATCCTGAGAAGAATTCATGGTTAGGTATTCCATAGTATTGTAGCTGCTTTTACATACTGACAAATGCTGTTGTTTGCTGTAAATGGGCTCAGAGCACATTCTAACACATACCTTCCACCTTATACACAGATGCTGTGTTGGGCATACAATGGTACCTTCCACCACAGAAACCTGACATGAAACCCTCTGATTAGCATTTGAGTGATAGTTTTGGCTTATTTAATAATGTGGAGCAATGTCATTGACACGGTAATTCATTAGATATTTGGCAGAAGAGTACTTGCCATCCTGCCTTAGGCTTATATCTTTCAGATTGTAAAGGTAATGCTTATGCATTGGTTTTGTTTTGATGTATTCTGCTTTCTTCTTCTGTATGTTTACCCTAGAATCTGTTGTTCTTGTTCGTGTTGACAGGATTTGTAAAGTTCTCACTATAAGCAGTTTTTCTAGACTAATATATACCTATATGAGAAATATGTATAATTGGTGAAGATTGAGTGTTAAACATGCAATTATAGAACATAACTTTAGTGGTGGGTGATAAGATTTATCAGTCATGTTGATCCACGTTAGAAAATTTTTACTTGTAACTTAACTTGAAATGCAAGTTTAGATTCTGGAACATTTACAAATTTTCAGTGAAGTTTTGATACCGGAATATATAATAAATAGAAGTCTAGAATGATAATTTTGAACCAGGGTTTCCAGTTTGCATGAAGAAAAACATCAGTTTTGAGAACCCAAGTGTGTACATGATGTAAAACTTGCAGATAAAATTTGTGCAGCTTAGCACATGTGGGGGTCCTGACAAAGATTTCCAATGGCTCAGACTGCACTCCAGTTCCTTACCTCCACCCAAGTGTCTGAGTGGCCACTTTCTTTCTAATTACCCATATAACCATATAACCCATATAACAAAGAGAAGGTGTGAGAATTGTATGCAAACTTTTGATCAGAGAACCTGAAGGCAAGAGATTTTGTGGAGGACCTAGTCATAGATGGGCATACAATATTATAATGGATCTTAAAGAATTGGGGTGGGAGCATGTAAACTTTGGCTCAGAATAGGGTCCAGCAGATGGTTCCTGTGAACAGAGTAATGAATATTTTGTTCTCATGGAAGTTGGGGAATTTCTTTGGTAGCTGAATGTCTATTAACTTCCCAGGAAGGACTCTGCCCCATGTTGTTATTTAGGGCAATAATTCTTGCAAAGGAAATAAACTATTGTAATTATATAAGTGTACCTGAAAACTATTCCTTGTGATTCTGTTATTGCTGTCTTTATATTTATTTCTCTGAAAAAATTGAGATGGTAAGCAATTAAACATATCTTAAATTTGTATCCCTTTTTTACAGGTTGTCAGCACAAAATTCCTTGGAAAGCGTCCAAACCTGAAGCTCAAGTCTGTCACCATCATCCACAGTTCAACAACAGAGACTGTGCGTCTGCCACCAGAAGGGGATAGTGGCCAAGTTACCATCCACCCAGCAGCTGTCCGATCTAAGCTACCTCTGAAACGTAAAGTGCGTGAGAAACATCATTTACATCGACACAGAAAGAAGATCAAAGACAAAGCCAACAACAGTAAAAGCAATAACAATAATAACAATAATAATAACAACAACAACAACAATAGTAATACTTCTACTCCAAAAAAGGTACTAAAGAAAAATAAAAAAAAGAAGAAAGCAGCAACTCCAGTCATTGGGGATGAAGTGGCAGCAGTGAAACAAAGTGTAGAAGTGACGGAGGAAGTTGCTCGCCAAATAAAATCAAAGAAAGTGCAGCAACAAACAAAAGGAAAGAAGAAGAAAAAGAAAGAAGTGATAGACTATAGTGCAGTGCAGAGTGATAAAGACAAGTTAGGGATGGTGTTAGGTTTGTCAAATAAGGGTCCTCTCCCTGACAGTGACCCTGTTGGAAAGGTCAAGAACTGGCTTCTGAACTCCCAGCCTCCTGTTGACTCTGCATTACTTCCTAAATCCAAATCGACTCCCATTGGCCTGACAGGAGCTCCTGGAAGTCCAGTAAAGACTCGAGCCCCCGCTGTGACACATCACAGCAGAAGTGAAAAGCATAAGTCACAAAGCACTGGCAACCTCCAGGGTGCTAATAAAAATGGTGGTGAAAAGGAGAAATTGAGACTGCAGGTTGTATACAAACCACCATTCAAGTTTAGTCTCAAGTTGCACAAGACTGAGAAAGGTTCAGGAGCATCAGCAAGTGTTGTTATTGTGGACAAGAGCCGCCAGAGATCTACTCCAGGTGACCGTAAGCGAGGAGGCGTTGGTAGATCTCGGGCTGCCATGCTTCTGAGGTCAAGAGACCATAAGAGGATAGCAAGTAATCGGAAATCTCGAGCTAAGGAGTCACTGACTGCAGTAGAAGCACCAGTTTCTCCAACAGTGACTCCAACACCCATGCTACAACTGCCTCTACCACCAACTGGAAACCAAAACAGTGAACATGAGGCAGACATAGACTCAAATATCCACACTGTTCCATCAGACCTTGAGGTGCTGCTCTCGGAGAGCGAGTTCCTCTTCTCGGATGCGTGACAATGGACGTTCGTTCTTCCATTCCATTTCCTTCCAGAACATGACATGTTCATGACTCTGAGTTTCACTTTTTTACTGAAGAACTTAATATGATTCTTGACACATACCTACATTTGAGATTATTTTGTAATGTGCCAAATGGTTGCAAGTTACGAAACCAAAGTCAGATATATAGTGTGATAAGAAAAGATGGTTTTCAATTAGCATTTTCTCCCTTTAAAAGTGAATCTGAGTTGAATTCGAAAGTCAGTCCACTTTTGTGGGAGACTTCTGAAACATCTCAACTTTGCCTTCTGTCTTGAAACTTGGGTTCAGTTTTACACGTAAAAGGCATTTTATATTTAACAGAGAGATTTAGTAAAGACAGTGAACAAACCTGAAGGCTAGCTTGGAAGATTATCAGTGATGAGGACATGACATTCCATTGTATTGTGTTAAACTATTAATGCTTTTGCATTACCACAGTATAAATTAGTCCTGACTGAGTGGGCCATGGTGACAGCCTCCCTGAACCATGTGGGATTATACTGCTGCAATCACATTTTATAAGAATTTTCACACATTGACCATGGTGTTACCCATGTGAACCTGTTTGTACCAAAATGTTACTGACCCCTTACCTGTATCTTTTATTCTGGTTTATTGAACAGCTCAGTTTTTACAGCTATGAATGACAGAATGACCGATGAATAATGAACTGGATAGGATGTGGAAGGAAAAAGTCATGGCCAAATTGAAGTCCTATCTGGAATTTGCCTGAAAAGACCAAGGAAAACAACTGGAAACTTAGAATAGCCAGTTTCTGAACTGAGATTTGACCTCTTTAGTATGAAGCAGAAGTGCTTTTGTTAGACTGCAATGTTCCTTACTGATGTAAAGAGTCATACAGATAATGAAATTACAAGAACAGGTCAAATGAAAATTGGCTAACCTTTGCTACATCGGTGGTACAGAACTTCTTCAGATCTGTGTTTAGGCAGCCCCTAATGCTGTCATGCAGCACCAGCATTGTGCTAGCACTTAGAATTGCTCTATTGCAGTATTAGCTGTATAGTACAAGCACTGTAAATGCTTTCTAGTAACAGCACTCACCACAAGTTAAACGCTCAGCTAGTGCAGTCACATTTTTAAACTGACCTCACTAAACTTATAGTAACACTGAATTAGCATATTTACTCTTACATGAAGGACTTCTCTGCTATATAAAAATATCATTAGCCATTCCATATGGACATGTTTCATTTTACAATATTTACTAAAAAAACTAAACTTTTAATTCTTGAAGTCTACTGGACTGACTGTATATACCATATAAGAGAAGCAGTCTCACAGGTGGTCAAGTCATTAGCTTTAGTGTGCAAGCCTTCAGTAACTGCTATTAAAACAAAACATTAATGCATTCAAATAAGGAGTCAATTTCGATTATTGTCTATAAGGTCTGAGGTTTCCACAGTGATGAAGATTCATGTAGTAATCTGAGTTATGAAACCTAACAGACTACATGGTATTAAAATATATTTTGGAAGAACCTGTTGCCTTCATAATATTGGTATCACTTATGACAGCATGCCATTTCATAGCCCAAAAGACCACAATCTAAATTTGTTACCACCATAAAAACCTTCAGCTGCTTTCACTAGCTTCATACAGACGAAACCTAATTACATTACAGCCCAGTGTGAGAGAACAGAAACATAATCTGTTTACATTTCATTTAATGTAGTTGTCACATAAAACTGAATGCACAATATAAATTATATTGAAATTCAGAGTATAAGAAAAAGTCACATATTCACTGAAAGTTCCATTAATGAGATGAGATAGATGTGCCTTGTATTATTAAATGTTATTACATTAGTCATGGAGCTGAGCCCTTCTTGAGGAGTGGCCAATTCTGCAGCTACTCAAGAATTTCCCAGTGTTTTATGGAACCCGAAGGTTCATTACCGTTTTCACAAGAGCCCTCCACTGGTCGCTGTCCTGAGCCAGATCAATCCAATGCATACCATCCCATCCTATTTCTCTAAGATCCATTTTAATATTGTCCACCCATCTATGCCTTGATCTTCCCAGTAGTCTCTTTCCATCTGGCTATCCCACCAATATCCTATATGCATTCCTCATCTCCACCATTCGTGCCACATGCCCTGCCCACCTCATCCTCCTTGACTTGATCATTCTAATTATACTTGGAGAAGAGTACAAGTTATGAAGCTCCTCATTATGCAGTTTTCTTCAACCTCCAGTCAATTTTAATTGTACGGTGCCACAGACATGTCTGAACCCCTGGAAGGTATGTGAAATGTGAGTAGTGTGGCCACACATCCCTTTATGCATGACACAGCCCAGTATTGCAGCTGGTTCATGTCTATCCTGTTGCTTTGCCTCAGAACTCCATTTCTGCCTGTGACAAGAATTTGTAGTATTAGTAACATAACTATTTACACCTTTCAAAACAACTGACTTTTTTGTTTTGTTTTTGACTGGGTTCATTAGCATTCATTTTAATCAACACAAGACTCATTCATTATCATCAGCTTTGCCTAATTTTTGTTCATTTTTTTAACTTCTTATCAGAAGGGGACAATTTGCATAACTATACCGCTTATTGTGTGGAACCAAGCAACACTGAGAACTCTGAGGGTGGGAGCAAATCTGGCCTGCCATGTTTTCAGCCGCAAAGATTATAATTACCCTGTCTGTGAGTGTAGATTACTTTCAGGAAATATCTCATCTTCCTCTGCTATTGCTTTCTCTCTCTCTTTCTGTTCCCTTGGCTGTCATTTCTTGCAGTTACAGTCTTGTTTAACTTGGAATGACTGTGAAACTGATGGAGAAGGTGGCATATTAACATGTCAAACTAAATTATTCACAGCATGGTAAGAAATTTTATTCATAAAGTGACAGAATTTTATGGGGAAAAAATGGGCATGCATAAAACTGCTTAACCCTCATATATAAGGTCCTATGTCAGCATGGTCCATCAGTATATCTTGCCCTAACAATACAGTCACTGCTTTACTGGAGAATAGTGGGGTAAAGATCACCTAAGTGTGAAAATAAATGAAGCACACTGAACTCTTCTGAAGTTTTTATACTGACTGGTCATATAATACAGGAATCTGGTTGTGAAGAGCGTTAGTCACCCTTGTGTTTGCACTCCAGGTTAAAAGGCTGCCATCGTTCTTACTGTCATCCTTATCATTGGAAGAAACAGTATTTAAGGATTTGGTGCAAAAAATATATAGACCAATTTTATATACTGTGGGGAATCTGTAGCAAATTAATGGTTAATGTAGATAGTGTTATCTGCCTCATTTCTACAAAAATGAGCATTGCAGTGTAGTAGTTAGCACTCCAGAGTTGCATTCAAAGTTACTTGGTTCAAATTTTGACTTGGCTGATTTTTCTGTGCTTTTCCTGTCCTTCCAAAATAATACTTAGGAAATGCCTTAAAATAGGTCACAGTCATTTCTACATCCTTTGTAACTAATTCAGTATTGTTTGTGAAATGAATAGTAGCAAAATGTGACTTATGAACTTTTATAACTGCCCAGTTTCTGCAATACCCATCAGTTCTCCCTAGAGTTTCTTTTACACTGGAAGTGGATTCTTGTGTGGGTCTAGACCAAGAAAGTTGATAAGCCAATAACTGCAGGCATGCAACCACAGGAACATCATTTGTATATATCTCTGAAAAAGTACATCCATAGTGTTTCTGACTATCAGTGTTTCTTAGTGAAAGTGGAATAAGCTCATTAATTTTCCCCTGTTGGCTAATTTTGAAGCCATGATTTGATAGTGAGGCTGTTTGCCAAGGTCTGAAATTCAGTCAGCTGTTTTCAAGACACTGTTGACATCATGGGCAGCGAGAAAGATGCTTGGAAATTACATAAAGATGTTTGGCAAATGGAGGAAATAATGGTTTAACCTATGTACATTCCAAATATTAAGTATTACTAATTTATATATATAATATAATGACTCACTTTATGTATGGATGTTATCTTCTCCATCTGACTTGTTTCTTTGTGTAGTATTGTCAGTAATCAGAGTAGTCAAGATTTCAACACTTTGTTTGAAAATGTTTTTCCTATGACCATTTCTCTTTGTAGTAAAAGCTATTAATACTATGGTCATGTTTCAGTAATGAAATTTTAGACTGATACAAGGGCCAGCAGCTGACATGTATAAATGAACTGCTACTGTGCGCCTGGAAGGAAAGTTCACAAATAGATACAGTGGACTACTGATCCATGGCTAATAACAGTTATGGAGATGGTATGTCACAATGTTACTGTGGTAACAATAGCAACTTCATGTTGCACGCAGATAGTGCTCAAATTAAAGTGAGAGAAAAGCATATATATCAAATCCATTCAAAAGTAAAAATCTCAAGATTTATATTGTATTGTGATTCTATAACAATATTTAGGTATTTTAATATGAACATTAAATCTAATAATAATTATGTCTTAAAACAGATTATAGCTCGCCAATCCATTCAGTTCAGTTCACAATTAAATAAAAGTAAATACCCACAGGTTACCTTCCAGCCTCTCTCAGTGCCTGCCTCCTGTATCCAGGATTGCATCCCCATAGAAAGATATAAAGGCAGCCTAAATAGCTGTGACAAAGTAGTCACCAAGAGAAGGATAGTACCGGCCGCCACTAAACAGTCCACTTTTATATCCTTTTAGACAGACATCATCCCTGACAAAGCAGGCAAGCACCCTACAATCATTGCAAAGCCTAAATATTTATGCTGCCTGGTCAGAGTACTGCACATTGTACAAGTGTCATACTTGGAAAACACACATGATGGGCTATTTTTATTAAATAGGATAATATGAATAAATCTTTGTCTTGTTCCTTACAGAAGGTTTAGAACAAAGGAAATTGTTAAAATAAATAATTATTTTATTGCAGTCTCTTAGATTTTTCCTGCAGGAACTGAGGAAAACTGGATTCAGCAGAAGCAGGTTACTGGAAATGTTTATTCAAAAGATTATCATGATGAATGCACAATAATATTATTTCACTATGACTTAGCAAAGACAAATCTAGATGAAAGACTGGTGTCAATGTATTAAGGAAATTTGTCTCCAATGTTGCAGATATTGACTATTCTAGTTATGAAGGTATCAACAAACAGAATTAAAATATGAAATAAATGAGAGCTTGTTTGCTGGATAAATTTAGTCCTTTGCTCAAAAAGAGAATATGTGAGTTTCTGTCCATTCAAGCCGCAGAATACCAAGCACTTTCTTAATGCCCACACATGCATGATGTCAATGCAAGGTGCTTTGGTCCGGTGATTACATAGTGCTCTATCTTAACTCCTGCCAAAACCAGTCAAGCCTTCCTACATACTCCAGTGCAGAACTCTTTTGTGTTCCAATTTTTTTAAACTTATTTTGCTAGAAGTATAAATTTTTCTATAAAGCCTATGTAACTCTTCTACTGTATGGATGTGCATTGTTTGAGTTGCTTTTATACTTAACTTAATATAGAGAAGAAGAGAAATGAAGGGAGATAATTGTTCAGTGGTGGAGTTTTTACACCCCAATTGTCTGTGATGCAACATTATAGGTCTACTGAAACAGTTGCCAATGCTGTCTGGTCTGGGGGAGGGGGGGAAAAATGTTACCCTCAACATTCAAAGAGATATTTGTTTAATATTTTAATGATGATGTGAGTAATATTGTGTCCATAACTATTCCTGCTTCATATTTGGTTCACAGCTTGAACTATGGTTCTTGTGGTTTTAGTTCTGATATTCTTCAAAATAGTTCATAGGGAAATAATTTTCTTTACCAAAGATATCCAGTGTGTAGCTGGTTAATTGTGCCTTTTAATCTCAACCTTCACGTTGATAAAGATACAAATAGGATTTCATTCACAGCATTTATGGTTTATTTAATGATGCCAGTAGTTCAGACTATATAATATTGAATGGCAGGATGATAGTGAAGAATAAACTGGAAAGATTGTTCAAGGAGACAGCAGTTTGCTTAATTTGAGTACTTTTCCACCTTTGCCTTGTAAGATTGGTAAAAACTATAGAAAAATTCAGTTAGGATAATTTGTTTTCAGGCCAGTACTTGAACCCAGGATTTCCTCAATATGCAGCAGGACTGCTATATTTGGTGTCATGGTAGGAAATAAAATTTATCCGGCCTGAATCAGTGGTTACATTAAGCTGGTGATAAATCTATCTTCTTATAAGTTTGATAGAATGTCTCATGGGTACTCCCATCTCAGAAACTGACACCTTCAGCTATCTGGGTAGTCACGCCAGAAAGAATAATGGGACCATAAATGGATACATTAATTACAGCACATTAATGAAAAAGACTAATTTCTTACAAAGGAATATTTATTTATTGTCCTCACTCTGATTTCAACATTCAGAGTCTCAAAATGGTACACTGTACATACAATGCTTTAATTAAATGGTTTCATAGTGTATTTTGGTTATCATCTGTTACAGTTATATAAATATTCTCCCTTCATTGCATTAATATT